GACTTCAATAAAAATAAAAATTAAATACTACGAAAGATACTTACCGAATTGAAGTGCTGAAATTTAACTAAATTTTTCTGTTGAGATTGATAACTGATAAGTTTATGAAATTTTGAGGTTGAAGTGGATGAAAAATGGAAGAGTTTTTATCGTATTAGAGTAAATTGATGAAAAGACTGACTTCATTTTCAAATTTCAATTGAGCCTTGTTTGGATTTTTATTTGTAACTTAAGGATATTTTTGTCTTTCTATCATATTTCTATTTTTGTAATTATATAACTCATTTAAGGATATTTTTGTTTTTTACACAAGAAATGATTATTGTGGTGAATGTTAGATTTTTATGATTAAAATGGTAAATGGTTCGTTTGAGAAAGCCAAAATTAAAAGTACCCATTTCCTCGTCATTTGGCCAAATTCCCTTATTTTCTTTCGCGGTCTCCTGCTAAAGCTCCCATCTTATTCTCTTCGATCAATTATACCGCACAATCAATCAGGTACAAAAACTTGTTAAATATTGATGAATTAATGATTTGACATACTTAGGTTTTCAATTGCCGATTTATTTTCTGTACAAAATTGTCTTGTATTCGGTAATACTAGTAAGCGTTTTTTGCCGTAACATCTACCTTTTTCCTTTTTTTTTTGGGTCTTTAATTGAAGAGCTCGATTATGTTCATGAGTTTGATTGAGCTTATTTTTTTACTTGAGATATGGTTTAGTGAATTTAGATTTGCAATTACTTTTGGGGCTTTTAATGTTTCTACTAAAATCTAGATTAATTTGGCTAAAAATATACTTGAGGAGCTCCTGATCTCGAATACACGGGCAAACATGCATATGTATTAATTTAGCTAGAAAATCTGTAGATTTTAATCTCATTGGACGAGTTGTATTACAGCACGAAGACTCTTGGATTTCTTTCAGTTTTATGTAAAGTGGGTCAACAATAGCTAAACCTATGTTCTTGGTTGGATTATGTAAGCTTTCCATCTTTTACTTTTGATTTTTGTGTGAGACTTGCTTGGTCTAATAATTCATTTTCAGCCGAAAGGATTATAATTATTTTGTTTGACAAGTAGGATTTCCTAATCCTTAACAGAGTAGGAAGAATGTGCGTCTCAAACAATTAAAGATAATGTTGAACAATGAGCTAAGGTTTGAGGGTTTGATTGCCATAGTTTGAAAAAAAGCATGTGGAATTGTGGGCAAAGAAGGCTTGGGTGGAGTAGTTATTTGGTCCCCTCGCTTCTGCACAGTTTTCAAATTCTTTGACCTGTAAATTGTAGTGGCTAGTTATTTTGTGCAAGAAAGTTCTCTCTCATTAATTTTTCCTTTTTTGATGTGTTTTCACATTCTTTACGAAGCCCCAGAGTTGGTTGAAATTCTTCTGACTGTTTCAGTTATAGCTTTTAAGAATACTTAATTCTTAGCAATTCTTTTACATTCAGATCAGGAAGCTTGTTTAATTATTGATCCAATAGTACTGTTGGAAGAGTGTGAACATCCAGACTTTTTGATCATTTGACATTTACTCTTCATGTTATTTTGCAATCATTTTCTGTGCTTGCCCACTTGTCTGGTTTCAGTTGTTTGGATTATTTATACAAATAAGCGCTAAGATATTGTCACGAATTGGTCACTAAGCATCAAAGGTTGTAGCTGGGTTTTCATGTACTATCGATTGCTTTATTCTGGCCCTCTTCCTAAAACAAGAGAAAACAAGCATAAAGAGGAGGAGAGTAGAAAACAACATTTATGTTAGTCTTTACTGGTTGAGCTAACATGCATCTGGCTAAAAAACTTTTAATACCCTGGCAAAGTCAAATATATTCTTCTGAAATCATCTAGGGACACTACTTTTATGATGATTTTAAGACTTGGTACTTTACTGCCGATTCTTAGTCAGAATGATCAAATTGATTTCCTCCACATCTAAATAGTTTGTGTGGTTGCTTGTCAAGCAGCGTGTCCTTGAAAACATTGAAGATACCTTGCCTTTTGGTAATGGAGAAGGCAGCAGATTCCAGCATATTTGTTAATGATGGGTCATTCTTGGAGAGGTTCAAACAGCTTCAAGAGGAGAAGGGAAAGGAAAAGAAGAGTGATATATCTGATAAGTCTGAGTCAGGCTCTAATACGTCTGTAATTTCCACTCCCAAGACTCTCATAGGTAAAATGGACTTGGAATTTAAGGCCAACTGTTCTCCGAAAACAACCCAAGCTCCTTCAAGTGGAAAACTTGCCTTCAGCTTGAAACAAAAGTAAAAAATTGTTGCACCCTCTGTGAAGCTTGGTGAAGATGAGGATGAAGATGAAAAGGATGCTGGAAATTTGTCAGATAGCGGGCCAATGAAACTGCCAAAATTGGACCAGCGGAATGCTTCTGAGCAGTCATCAAAACAAGTTGACGTTGGTAAACTTCTTATTATTGTTTATCTGTCCGTTGCATATGAGGTTTTGCAGGTCATGCTCAAAATCTATTGGTGGCATGTTTAAGTTAGCACTGACCTGCAAGTATGAATTAGAGAGTGCTTGGGTGAGCTTATAGGGTGCTTAACACCTTATGAGCTCACTTGAGCACACTATTCGATTATTATGCCTTTTTCACTTGCAGGTTATTATGACTCAGTAAACATCAGAATTTTGAAACATGGAAAGCCAATAAGAAAACGTGTTTCCTTGTACGCGTATTTCTTTTTTCTCCTACTTGTTCTGTCTTAGAATGGTATAGAATGTATTTGGTGATGAAGCAAC